CCCCCCCAACAATGTCCTGGCCAAGAAACCTGCTGACGTTTGGTTTATGATGCTGTAGGAGAGACCGGAAAGAGGCAGGGGAAGCTCTTGGGACCTTCTGGGAAGGGAAGAGGTTTGCCACCTCTGGGGGTTTTCACTGAAATTCCAGTATCCTGGAAAGGGGCACCAGAGGGGTAGAGAGACCTTTCCAACTGCCAGCACCCTGCCTGCATCCTTCTGCAGCTGTCTGTGGGCAGCCCGCCTGTCCCTGCGGGGGGAGAAAGGCAAAAGGGAGAGGACAACTAGAAGGTAAGGGAAGATGAATTTTCCCTTGCAAGAGAAGGAAGGAGGGAAGGAAGGAAAGAAGAACTGGGTCTACTTGGATTGTGATAGAAATAGGCAGAAGGCAAGGAGATGAACACTTACCAGGATGGGGAGGGAGTTACAAGAAAAGCTGGCCCAAGAAGGCTAAAGATAAAAGGGAAGGGACAGACTTGGCCGTCTTTTTAATGATGTATTCCCTCATCCGGGCAACACATTTTTTTTTACGCGCGCCCCGAGGAGAGAGGTAGCTCAGGGGGAACCGGCGCTTCTCAGGAGCCCGGACATTGCTCCAAGGACTTCTGTTCCCTGCTGCCTCTGCCAGGGGCTGGGGCTCTCACTGCTCCACTAACAGCAAAGCCGGGGAGTCCTCCTCTGTTAATGCTGCACATTTCTGCAGGGATTTTCTGCATGAGGGCAGTGTGGTAGGAGACTGCAGGGCTGTATGGAGAGTGGAATGGCTTCACCTCGCTTTCAAAGGGCAGAGCATCCCTCTCGCAGGTATACTTACAGCCCCTTCTGGGCCGAGGAGGTGTGTAAAGCTCTGGGGAAAAGCTGCGGACAGGAAAGGGGTCTGGCAATGAGCCTTCTCCTGCTGGATATGGACACGGAGACCTTGGGCCCAGCAAGACTCGCAGGTACTGCAGGCTCCTGCTCAGCTCCTGGTGAAGCCACACTGGGCCTAAGCCATTAGCTTGGCTTGGGGCGGGTGGGCTTTCTAGCCAGAGAGGAGCACAGCTGGCTCATCTCTTGGGGCCCATCTCCATGTTTCTCCAAGGAGTCAGTGCCTTAAAGCAGAGTGGCACCACCTTCCGTATGTCACACTCTGCTCCTCCCAGCCACATATGCAGAGTATCTCCATTAATGCACCAGGAGGTGCAGGATGGGCCCTGGATCACCCCAGGATGGGGTGATGCCAGGAGGAAGTGGCCAAAAGGTTTGCTCAGCCCCTGCCAGTCACCTGTCCCTGTTTCCCCACATGCGGGCTGAAGCTAGTGGGACTGGTCTCAGGGTCCCAACTCCTTTCCCTCCAGCAGCTGGGGACTGGGGGATACAGTCACAGCCTTAAACAGTCCAGGGTCCCACTAGCACTCCCTTCTCCTTCCCTCCGCATGTAGGTGCCATCGCTTTCCCTATTTTGGGAGAGGAAATTGCCACCTCTCCTCCTAGAGCTCTGATGTCCAGGGACCCTCATGGCTTCCAGCAGATCAGAGGAATGACATCACTGGGCCAGCCCCATGATATCATGCTGGGTGAGCTGGGTTTGACCCCCAGAGGGGACACACGGATGGGGAAAGCTGTGGTGAGGCAGCCTGCTTTGGGGGAGGAGAGGGGGACCAGGGAGGTGGGGGGGTGGGGATGGGGTTATTGCGCCTGTACCTGGATGACTCTCATGTTGAGCCCAGTCTCCTGGGCCAGCTGCTCCCGGATGTGCCTGGTGGGCTTGGGGGTAGCTGCAAAGGCAGCTTTGAGGGTCTCCAGTTGTTTGGCTTTAATGGTGGTACGGGGCCCCCTCCGCTTGGTGCCCGAGTTCTGCTCCTCGTTCTCGTTGTTGGTGGTCTCCTTGTCCGAGGAGGTCGAGTTGTCCGTCTCCTTGGTGTCGTCTTGCATGGGGTCCTGGAGATCCGGGGACAAACTCCTGTCTGTACACGAGGACACTGTAAAGGAGACCCAGAAAGGAAAGGGGGGGGTGGATGACTTAGGAGAGAGACCAACCCCCCCCCAACATCATGCAGAGCTGCAGGCAGTCGCCGCCGGCCCCAGCAAGCCGAGCAACACGATCCGACCTCCAGCGCCCGCATCTGAAGGGGTGGCTTGGCACGGCCCCCACTGCTCTGCTGGGTGCACAGAGGGGCTCCACGGCCAGCTGGAGGAGAGCTGAGGAGGGGGTGATCCCCCCCCACCGCAGGCCCCAGTGCTTCCCCTCTCCCCCCTGTGCCTTTCACACCGGGAACCGGGATCCGACTCTGGGAAAAACGCAACCAGTCACTTGGGGTTCGGGGGTGTCCAGTCACTGCCTTGAGCCTGGCTCAG